TCCCCTATGCTGCTCTCTAATAGGTCATTAGATCCTTTGTATGGCCATGTGTAGATGTGGTTATGGCTGGCAGCGTGCTGGCCATGATGGGTAGATGTCTTAGTTGAAGAACTACCATAAATCAGTGACCTTACCCGTAGCTGCATGACCATGGTGTTTCAGAACCCAAACATAATGCAGCAGCACCTTGTCCTGGTCCTTTGAGTCGAAGTCGACAGTGTTAACGTCTGCCAAAAAGGCAACAGAATACCGTGCTTTGACATTAAGTTTGCTGCAGCCTCTAGAATATGACGTTCTGCGTAGTATGGATGTAGCCCAGCGGTGTTGAATAACCGTTTGTCCCATTTGGCTAACTAGGACAGTGCAGGCAGTTTGTGTATTGATCTGGGGAGCTGATAGCCATCGGGCACAACGACACATCTCCAAAAGGCGCTGCTCAGGTTCTCGGTCACAGGAGCGCTTCTGCCCTCAGTTTCAAAACAGAGATTTGTCAAGATAGAGAGCGGGTTTTGGGAGCAATAACAAAACTGATTCGATAGCTCCCTGCCTAACAGGAGATCTCTCAGCACCCTCATCCTCCTCTTTTTACCCCTTGCACTGGGTCTTTTCTGCTACAATAGAGCCTTTCAGTGAACTCACTTCGCCGATGGGATTGGGAATAAGACGAATGGTTTAGTGCCAGACCTGGGGGAGCCTGGGGCAGTGTGGGTTTTTGGTTCTGGTCTGGGTCTTTTTTTTTCCCCCCTTCTTTTTTCCCCTTTTTTCTTTAAAAGTAAACTGCATTTCCAGCTGAGACTGGAGTGCACGCTAGGGTGAGAGGTCCTGCCTCTGTTCCTGGCTTGTCTCTCCCAAGCATCTCTGAGGGCACTTTCTCCTCTGCGAAGGAGCACCTTCAGTTGAATTAAACTATATTGTTTTAAAAGTAAGAATTTAAGCTGCTTTATCTCTTAATAATTCTGCATAGTGTGCCTAGGTAGTTTTATGTGGTTTCACTAACTGGCTTTAAAAATCTCATTCAGAATAGCTTTTGTGAGGTCCTTTGCAGCCAGCTGTGGGTTTGTGTCTGCAAAGTTGATGCAAAACTCGTGTAGCGTTACACACAGAGATGTTTAAAAGAAAATAAAACCAGCAATGACCTTTGCAGGGGATCTAGTCCGATTTTGTGTGCCAGGCAGCTCTAGCTTCAGAATTGGCTTGGGTTTTGAAAACGCCCAGCATTTTACCCAGTGTCTTAGTGCTCAGCCACTGCCGTGGTGAAAAAGCTCATAAAGGCAGTGAATTTCAAGGAAATGGGCAGCGGGTAAAAGCTGTGCTTTCGGTGGCAAGAAGGGCCTTTTTTCTGTTGTAAAAGTGCTGATTTCGTAGTGAGGAACCAGTACCCAAGTCTAGGCTGTGGACAAAGTGGCAGCTGTATTGAAATGTTGGTCAGTGGTTTGGTCCGGCTTTGTGACTTCCAGAAACGATGGACTGAGTTGAGACCCGAGGTTCCTGACCCTCTTCTTGGAGCCTGAATGGGGGAGTTTGAGGGTGATTGAAGTGTTTTGGGTTAGCTAAAGCCAATGTCCTTGCTCTGGTCAGAGCTGTTGCAATGGCCAGTGCACGCACAACGCGCTTGCTCAGAGCAGCGATAGTTAGACGGGTTTAAACGAAGCCGCTGTTCGTCAGTCGAGGTGCCGTCCCATTGGGGCGCAGCGCAGTGCAGGAGCCCATCTGGACTGACCGTGAAGGGCCAGGCCCCCCTCAAAACACTTCCTGAAGCCCAACGCCTGCTATGATGGTGTGGAAGAGACCGTGCCACCCTCACGTTTGTGTAGGGTCGGCTCTTCCCAGACATGAATCCTCAGAGAAAGGGGGTGGGTGAAGCGCAAGCACCCCTCAGCGCTGTCACACAACGAGGAAGGTGGATGTTTTGAAAGCAAGATGAGGGGAGCCTGGCTTGCCCTCCCTGGGCCTCGCAGGGCCTGGGGCCACCATGGGCCACCTCAGGCGGAGGAGAGGCCTCTGTGAGCCCTGTGATGAGCTGAGGACCAGGCCGATGGTGGACAGGCTCTGGGACAGGACCTGCCCTCCATTGGGAATCTGTGTAACTGCCCGAGCTGTCCCTGTCACTGCAGCCACCAACGCTGCCCTGAGTCTGCCTCTGAAGCATGGTTAACATGAGGAAATTGTAATTACACCGGCAGGTAAAACTGATGCACTTTGCATGTGTAGTGACAGTTGGAAATGTTCGCTCCCTAGCTAGCTGTCATGACTGGGGAACGTTTTTCCTCGCCCGTTAAGACAAGTTTTAAAGTTCCTGACACAACCGTACTTCTGAACTAGTGCTTGGGCTCAACCTCTTTCAATGTTTTTGTAGTTCTGGAGTCTCGCAGCTCAGTTGCATGGGATCTATACAGAGTAAAATTATGGTATGTGCAACAAATGATTCCTACCCGACGACCAGAGAACGCGTGGCCCAGGCAGAAGAGGAGTCGCGCAGTCGAAGTGCAAAGTTTATCAAGCCTAGCAAACCCATTTTAGGTATGGTCATATTTCATTTTCTGCTAGATATCTAAGTTTTCGAATTCAGTAATTCATCTTTTCAGTGTATTCTTGGGAAAGGTGATGTGCTCAGAGATCTCGGTGTAGGTCATGTCTCACGTTTGCAGTCTCCTGTTGCGGCATTCAGACATTAGCCATTTTTTTTTCCACCCAAAAAAAAAGCCTGCCAGTCCTTCCTTATTCCCATATCACTTGACTGGTTGAAATTTTGACCACTGAGGTGAGGGTTTTTTACCACCTCACGCACTTAAATTTTCTGGTTTAGTAGCTAATGTTTTGTTTTTATGACAGCACTTCTCAGTACCTAAATACTGTGCTGAACAATCTTGATTTGCAATCTAAAAGAAATAACACTGAGCAAGTCTCATATACAAATTCGTTACGTTTAATATGAAAAATGTTGCTTTTGTTAATACTGATTAAATTTTATTTATGTCTTGGTCATCAGTAAGCAACTGTTCCCACAAGACCGTGGTTTGGTTTTTTTGGTTGGTTGTTGGTTTGTTGTTTTCTTTAAGTTAAGTTCAGGTAATGTTGTCATCTTCCCATGGATTTCATCGTTTTCCACAAAACAAAGTGTTTAGGTGGTATCACTCAATGTTAAACCGCTCTGAGCACAGTTTCCCTGGGGAGCCTGGAGCTGGCTGCGGATGGACACAAGGTGACACCCGCCTTGCAGGCACTCGGTGGTGCAGGCAGCGGTGGTCCTGCCCGCAGCAGCGACCTGAACCAGGTACAGCCTTCGTTAGGTACAACCGGCGCTCACTCGGCTTCGGCTGCAGTCCCCGGCCAGCACGGGCATCCCCAGCAGCGACGGTGCCACGCTTGCTCTGCCTCAGCCTCCTGCAGAGCACTCGGCCAGCGCCGTCACAGCGCTGAGATCCAAAAATGTGCGGCCGTGATACGAAGGGCGCAGGGCAGGGGTTGACAGCAGGACATGGAGTCACCCTCATCTGTTTCATAGCTTCTCATTGGGGAAGTTCTGTGCTACATGCGAACGATCTGCTGGTTCTTGTTGAAGTAGAATTTAAGTGAATAGTTAACGTTAATTAAGCGGGGTCTGAAGACTGGCAGTAGCATAATTACAGTTTTTGAGGATACTTTTGCTTCAGACTGGCATTGGCAAAGCTCAGGAGCGCAGGCCCAGTTGCTGGTGACTGCAACGTGCTTCATGCAGTGCAAATAAGGAACTGAGGCTGTTAATCGTGTTAATATTTGGTTAGGTTTTCAGTTATTTTTTTTAAGTGATTCGTAGACATGACTTTAGGAGTTGTTTTGTCTGCTTACAGCATCCACTGTGCCTGGCGGTTGTGTCTACACTGAATTTAACTTGTCAAACCATTTGTAATGCTTCGGTAAACGGCTGGCAAGTCCACGCTGCTCTAAAGATGTAACCGTGTGTGCTTGTGCGGTTTTCAGGTTTGTTCCTGAGAACCAGAAGGGCAAAGTCCAGGGAATGCACAGGGTGGAAAGGTTGTAAAGGTTTGGCCTGCGCTGCGAAATGGAGAGAGATTTTTTTGTGTCGCTGAGGAGGAGCAATGCATCAGCACAGCCCAATCCCTGGGAGAAATCCCGATTTTTCTCAGCAGTGCTCATGAAGTCTGCCTCGTGTGCCAAACACGAGCTGGTGGTTTCAGAAAAATGCCGAGTTTCTGTCGCATCCCCTACTGGATTGCAGGCAATGCTTAGTGCCATGATTTTCTGTAATATCCTGATAAGTGTTTGCGTTGGTTTTAGTTTTTCCTGTCTGATAGCAAATGCTATTTAAAAATGCAGAGTAGAGAAGTTTGGGTCATTTTCCGGAAAACTGATACTCACATAAGGTGGTGGTGTTTTTCAATTCTGGGTATATCACTTGCATTGTTCCTCCAGTTGAGAAACGCATCTCTCTATAGAGTTGGGTCCAAGATGCTGTGCAGGCCACGTTCCAGAACTTCCCTGGCCTCGATCCCAAGAGCTGTTGTATTTTTGGTGTATTCTTTCTGACAGGCTTGGGCTTATTTAACAAAGGAACGACATTTCAGGGTAAAATGGGGTATAACTGAAGTGTCCAACACTGAGTGATCGTGGTTTCTTTAAGCAGTGATGCAATTAGTAATGCGGACTTGGTCTCCCTGGCCATTAACGGGGAATCTTTTACATTAATGGGAAGGCTTTTACGTCACACTTTCAAATGCTTTTCTGTAAACATTCCTCATGTTGGGTATTCAGTGCTTAGGCTTATAAACTGTAAAGTAATAAAAGCACCATCTGTGTAAGTAATCGGTAACGTTTTTGTACCAGTTTCACTCATTTACCAGCTATTTTTTATATTGAATAGTTCTTTATTAATGCCTTGCTCAGCGCAGCTTTACTACCTGCCTGTTCTTACAGCTCTTGAAATGCAAACTAAATTCAGTTTTTAGAGTTTATCTGTCTTGGTGGATTCTTTTAAATCAACTTTCTTTTCTTCTCTCCACTTCTAATGTCACTCTGTTCGTTTTTTTTCCCCCCTTTGTATTTGTTTTGCTCCTTTCCCCTTCACTTCAGGAAGAAGAAGGCAGGTCAGAAGACCGCCACAAAGCTCTACAGACATCGCGCCCCAGAGGAAGCGGTCGATGCCGATGAACCCCGCCACCACCGTGCGGAAGACACCGGTGCAGAACGTGGTTTTCCAGCGGCCGTACCGGGACAGGGTGATCCACCTGCTGGCGCTCAGGAGCTACAAGAAACCAGAGCTGCTTGCTCGCTTGCAGAAGGACGGCATCAGCCAAAAGGACAGGAACTCCCTTGGAACCATCCTTCTGCAGGTGAGATCGCGGGGTTCGCGCCGGCGTTTTTTCCAGCCTGCTCCTCGGTTCATTCTGAGGGGTGTTATTCCTGTATTTAGATGAGAAAATAACGAATAACTTGTGTAAGGCGCCGCGTTTAGGGTTTTCAGACAACTTTATACGGATGCACCGAACTGTAAGGCAATGTGAGGAAACTAAAGATGAAAAATTTTGGAGGAGTGTTTTTGTTTTGCTAGAATGGCAGGCAATAAATAACTGGTTTTAGCCTTGTTGCTCCTAATGTTTTAGTTTTTCCTCAGTCCTTTACTTAGGCTGCTTAACGGCTTAATTGAGAGAAGCTAACCCTGTGTTCTCACAATAATTTGTCATAGTCCTTAATATTTCTTGTGATTTGTTTCTGAGGAGAGAAGTGCGGTAATGGCATTGGTTTGCACTTCCTTTGAACGTGGTTTTTGGCCTGTAAATGGCCTTTGCCTTCTCCTGGGATCTGCTAAAATTGCAATCCAGGGAAGGGCGTTCCAGCCAAACCATGAATGAAAAATGTTGTGGTCTCATTTGGAGCGTAGCGTTTCCTTGCTGTCGTGTGGATTGTGCCCGTATCTTACTGGAAACCTTTTTTATTCAGTAGCTTTTCCAGTGGGCAAAGTTCCACTTGTATTTCTTTCTCATGCCCATCAAAATTATTGCTAAGCTTGTAATATTACTGCTGAAACTTTTAAGCTGTGTGTTCAAAAACGCCACATTAATTTCCTCCTAAATTAGTTCAGAAAAGGTGTCTTAAAGTGTTGTAAGACACATGGCTTTTTGCCTTTTTAAATACTTCCCATACCCGCAGACTGTGGCTGAATTATGCATGAGTTAAGTGAGAATATTTCATATTTACCTAGGAAAAAAGTGTTTTGGAACCTGTTAAAGTGAGTAAAATTCAGCATTTCTACAGCTTTGATCCTACACTGAATTTTAAAAACTCATTCCTTGAGTATGTTAACTGTTGTTGCTTTGTTTGCCTTGTACAATGATTTTTTTTTCCACCCTACAGACGTGCAATTTAATGAGAGCCGTGTTCTTGCCCGTGAATTGCAGTTATTTTGCACTTTAAGTTGACTATGAAATGTTAACTTTTTGGGAATACTTCATCTTTTTTCCTGAGGAAGATAAAAACCCATTTTATTTTCAAGGGCACACAGCCAGGCACGCACACGGCTTTTCGTGACGGTGGCTTGCTGTAAAGAACCCTATGTCTGAAAACAAAGGGTACATCTGGGCCTCTTTCAACATTTTAGCACTAAATCTTGGTTTTCGAAATACAGCTTGTTAGATCTGGGTACAGTTATGGGTTTTTTTTCGCCCAATCAGTAAAACTTCAATATGGCTTAAAAGTAATGGAATGGATGAATAATTCATCTTTGTACTACAAGAAGTTTAGTGCCAGTTGGGTTATCCCATATGACAGAGAGAACTGGACCCTTGGTGTTTCTCCAAAAGCCGGCCGCAATGTTCTTGTTGTTATCAGAAGCCGTGAGACGCGTCAGGCAGGACATCCTTGGCCTTATCAGGAACTGTCCATAGCCCACCTCCCTTTACACAGTGACCTAAGATCTACTGCTTCAGCTGAATAACTGCTATCCTGTTAACTCTTAAGTGTTATTCTCCCAAGCCGTGTTAGCCCCAAGCTGTAATTTTCCTTATAAGTGTTACAGTTTTCTCAATCACCATAGAAAGCTGTAGATTCAACCCAAAGTTGTACAAATCTGAGTCTGCGTGTAGAGATAGTGTCCTTCGGTTCTTAAAAAGGAAAATTAAATAGAAATAAGGAAATTGGCCTCTCAGCGTGTTCCATGCAGGGAAGATCTAAAGTTTGGGCATGGTTTGCCTGGGTTCTCAAAGCTGTGTGGAAGACAGGAACCCAGATACGTGGTGCAGAGAGAAGTGTTCATAGAGTGCATTTCATACAGGTTTGCAGCGCTTTGGGGCTTCCCTGCATCCAAATTTCTACCTCCCAAATTGACCACATCTTTTAAAATTGGTGCTACTTTGACCTTTACGTCTTAAAAGATCCTGGAAAACCGGTGTGTGGTTTTGTTTTCATCGTTGATTTAGCTTTGCAGTACCAGTCTTGTTTCTGTAGTTTGCATTTAGGTGTAATGAACATTTATTTTCTTAAATGTCTGCCTGTAGGTAGCAAACTTGAATCCGAAGGATAATTCTTACTCTCTGAAGGATTCTATGTTTAAAGACATTCAGAAAGATTGGCCTGGATACAATGACATAGATAAACAGTCATTGGAGTTTATACTTTTTAGGTAAGTTCAGTCTCTAGGGGAAGGAAAAACAGTTGTTTTAAAAGCTTTTCCTGGGAAATTAATGTCTGTCTCCCCTGTAATGAAAGAGAGATGACACAGGCATTTCTACCTTGTAACTTGAAGTGTTGGGTCATCCTTGCAGAAAATCAAACCCGCCTGAGAATGCCACCAGCACCGATAATTTGGAGCCTGCCGAAACTGCTAAGAAGGATCGTCAGCTAACAACTCTGGTATTTTTATTTGTTTTTAACATTATTTACAGTGTATTAAGAGCTACCACACTTCATGTTGGTGTTACAGATGTGACGTGAAGCACTCACGTTGTCTTTAACACCCGAAAAACTGAGAAGCGTGTATTTCTAACTGGATAACTCCGTTACTTTGGAGATGCTTGCGCTGTCAAAGGCTGCAAAAAATCTTCCGGTCACTTAGGTTAAGGGCTGCTGTAGTGGTGTATAGTGGTATTTCAGCACGTTTATTAAAATATTCAGAGAAACATGCAGTATCCAGAAAAACAGGCAGTATTTTGTAAATACACCTAGGTCTCCGACAGAGGCTGCCCCTGTTGTGTTCGAACAGCCAAAATTGGCCTGAATCGTAACTGTCCATCCATAGCACATTGACCTTGCAGAAGCCTAAGCTCGCCTGCCCAACCTCTTGGTTGCCCGTTATTGTTGCACAACCCTGTACTTTCTGGTTAAATAGTTAGAGCTGTTTTGCATGGCCGCATAACTTGTTTATGTGGTGTGTAGGAAGGTCCTCTAAACACAAGACTCGTATGTATTTTTGTGGCGTGGTGTTCAGGGCTCTTTGTGATTTGCTGGTTATCAGACATGAAATAAGCACAAACATCCTTGTGCTGCTATTTCAATATAAAGCTTCGAAAAGTCTAGAGTAAGGACAAATTACAGTAGTAATTCACACTTGGAGGAATATTTTTTTCCTATAGGCATCAATTTCAGCCCCCGTTTTGACGCAGGGTGTGAAAAGGCAGCTCTGAACCTGAAGCAGGTACCACATCTGCCTTCCCCCAGCCTTTTCAGGCCCAAAATGCAGACACTCTAAGTTCTTACCAGTGCACAGGGGGCAATGCAAACTCTTTTAGATGAACCTTGGGAAACTCTGCAGAAAAAGGGATTACTTGAAGGGAAAGTGTGATACTTTCTGTGATTGCAACTGCACTTCAGTAAATGCAGTTGAGATCTGAAGAACACGACAGATTGTGTGTGGGAAGTAGGGGAGGCCTTTCACCACCGAGATACTTAGGTTTAAATAGAGGGAGGGCACTGCACTGTTTCTCCCTGACTTTCCTCCAGTCAGAGGGATCCTGTGCACACAGGACCTGGATTGATTTTGGCAGGGCAACACAGAGCTGTGCCCACACTCCTGGTCCAAGATGCCTCTTGTATCACAGCATCCCAAGATGTCAAGAGTTGGAAGGGAACCTGGAAAGCTCCCCCAGTGCAACCCCCCCAGAGCAGGATCACCAGAGCAGTCACACAGGAACACGGCCAGGGCTTTGGGTGTCTCCACACAAGGAGACTCCACAACCTCTCTGGGCAGCCTGGGCCATGCTCCAGAACCCTCACACTCACAAACTTTGGCCTCATCTTCAGCTGGAACCTCCTGTGCTGCAGCTTGGGACGATTGTCCTTGTCCTGGCATTGGCCATCCCAGAGCAGATCCTGGCTCCTTCCTCCTGACACTGCCCTTTCCCAATGGATCCCCAGGAATGAGGGCACCCCTCAGTCTCCTCTGCTCCAAGCTCCAGAGCCCCAGCTCCCTCAGCCGCTCCTCAGCAGGAGATGCTCCACTCCCTCCAGCATCTTTGTAGCCCTACGCTGGACTCTCTCCAGCAGTTCCTGTCCTTCTGGAGCTGAGGGCCCAGCACTGGACACAAGATTGCAGCTGTGGTGTGAGCAGGGCAGAGCAGAGGGGCAGGAGAACCTCTGTGCCCTACACCCACCCCTTCTCATCCAGGTGACCCCAGGATGGCGTTGGCCTTCTTGGCTCAAGGGCACATTGCTGGCTCATGGGCATTGCTGCCACCAACACCCCAGGTCCTTTTCGTACGTGGACAGCAGCAGCGTGCGCTTGGTGGAGAGGAGCATGTGAACAGGCATTGCAGCTGGAGTGACAGATGAGGGAAAACTGGGGCTTTTTACCAATTTTTAACAGCTTTTCCCTTCTCGTGCACTCCTGTGTGCACACCCGGGCTGCTGTAGTACAGGACGTGGCTGTGTGACAGCAGAAGCTGGCTTTGACCTCAGTTACGTCCCAGCTGAGATCTGTATCTGAACAACACCGACCTGACCTCCTCGGTTTGGTGGAGCCTTTGATAGAGGTGCTGGGGAGAGCGTCTTTCTCCCAAAGCCTTTTAGCTGTAGATTTGAAGGCAAAACTTGCTAGATTGTAAGATCAGAAACTTAAGAATGAAATAATCTGTGTTTCGCTGTTCCTTGTTTGACAGCTGCTTTTAGATACAAAAAGATATTTGGGGTTTTTTTCCAATTTTTTGGTTTTTTCAATTCTTTACAATTTTCAACAATAGCCTGTTCAGAAATGTTCCTGTTTTTTACAGAATGGGAGGGAAAATTAGTTGTGCTGATTAATTTACTATTACTATTGCTGCTGCTGCTGTTGCTGCTATGACTGTTACTTTTATTACTATTACTGCTGCTGCTATTACTATTGCTGCTGCTACTATTATTACTGTTACTATTGCTACAGAAACGGCTTTACAGTTTCAATTTCATCGATCCTGTGAACAAAAAGAAGAGGATTTCTCACCTGAGCAGTCGCCTCCAGCCACCGGTGACCGGCTGCTTGCCGCACC